TATCTGATGAGATCAACCAATGAATCTCTTATTCATGCACTTTCATACAAAATGAAGGTACCCGTAACAATTTTATCTCGGGAGATTCATCGAAAACAAGTTTATCTTCGTATCTACAAAGATTTAAGAGTTATTATTTCCCTTTCCTTTTAATACCACCAACGAAAATCCTTTGGCCCCTAGGTATGAGCATATTTATCGAACCTAATTAATCTATGTACTTCGAGACTAGAAGTAGGGAGCTGTGTATTTACGTAGGAATTTATTACAGCTAACAATGTGCTCCCTCTTAAGTATAATAATTTATAAGTCAGAGTATAATAATGAGCTTATTTTTTTAAGTCGGAATATTTTACAAAACCATTGTTTGTGGATGAAATAAGCTTCAAAGAAGTAACTTCATAAATCCTAAACAAATCAGCAAGAAAAATCGACGAAAAAATCAAGCGTATAAAGATACCCTCAATAAACTATAAATACTATATTGTGACAGTAAGCAAGAGAGAGTAAATTTGATGGAATGTTAAGAAGGCCAATAAAAAATTAGAAACAAAATTTTAGAGAATTAGTATTAAATGCCTAATGATGAGAAGAAACTTTTGCCATATATGTAAAATAGTTTTAATTTTTAATAAAATAAGAATAAATTACCTGTTCTCTGATTAAAACTCCCAATTTCTCACGACTGTAGAATTGACCAAGTTCCTCGCCCAAAATTTTATCCAAAATATAGCTGACTGGAAAGGCAATAGGAAAGGTAATAACCATGAATATTTTAGTGAGCCAAATAGTTTTGGCTCCAATAGATAGGCCGTATCTAGAACAAACGGCTTGAGGCATTATTTCACCAAGTGCAGTAATTCCAATGGTAGATCCAATGACAGCATAAATTCCACTACCAGTTAGATCGTCCATGAGTATTGTTAGGGAGTTATTTACGAGAACATTTCCAAGGAGCAGAGTGCACAAAAGAAAATTTCCCTTCTCTCTCACCGGCCGAATAGTTTTGGCATAACGTCTTTCACTCGGGGAGCCTGCAAACTCTATAATTTTCAGTTCGGTTTTATCAAGCGCCATAAGTCCGAGGTTAAGACCACTGAAAAGACCGGACAAGCAAAAAAGGCATATAATAAGGCAAACTTGGAGCCATATGGGCATAAGGCTAGAGGTGGTTTTGAAGGAAACATTATGCGGTCCGAAAGGATAAATCCAGGTTAGGCTGATATTGCTGAGATAATCGATTCTATCATTTATAATCCAAGCTCTGATGCACAAAAAGAAAGCAGCTTCATCTTTTGTTAGCTCCCGCAATTTGATATTGGCATCACCAAAATACTCATCTTGTTTTACAAATGGAAATGATTCTGTAACACGTGTGTCCTCACAAGAGGATCCTTGAGAGGCGTTTCTTGAAGCGAATGCAATATGAGACACAAGGTCCAGTGACTTCCCGAATAGACGGATTTTTGTAAAAGTAAGCGACTTGAGAACAATACTTCCATCGTTAACGGCTTCATAAGTTTCAGGAAGCGACCCATGAATATAGACATCGTTGATACCACTAGCAACATTCACAAGTGCCCATGAAATGACAAAACTTAGGAAGAGCATCAATTGCATATCTGGATAAGCAAAATTATAAGAAATATAGTAATTTAAAGTTCATATAGACATGACAAAGCTTCAATCTAACCAAGATCAAAATATGCATTGAGGTGAGATATTTGAGGAAAATATAAAATAAGTAAACGCCAAGGAGTAGATAAGCAGATTGAGGTCAGCACAAAAATAAATGCAGCGAATTAACTGACATTTGATAGAAACTAAAAATAGACAGTACAATAAGAGGGAGCAGAAGTATATTAATTCAGCACTTGTATAAGAAGTCGATAGGTTAAAGGATATGGCTAGTACGATAAAAAAGGGAAAGTAAAAAGCGCGTTAGCGCCTAAGCTTGACAGACAATTTCAAAGCAAGCGCGACTTATTTTGAACATGAAACTGTTAAGGAGTAATGGGGGAATTATATTTTCTAAACCAATGCCAAGCGATTCTCTGGATAAATTAAATGAATTTAAGGGAAATATTAGCTGTTTAAGCTGGCCAAATGTATGTAGTTTTATACTTATTGTAGATACGAAGAGAAACTGGGTTTCGATAATTGTCTTGAGATAATATTGTTAGGAGCACTTTCAGTTCGTATGAAAGTAAATGAAGAAGAGATTCGTTGGACTGCGTCAACATGAATATCATATAAAAGCCAAACGGCTGCATTACAACGAGATTCATCCGTCCTCATCTGGTGAGATCGACCAACGAACCTCTTCTTCATTCACTTTAATACGAATTTAAAGTCCCCCTAACAATACTTGTATTGTGCCACAAAAAATTAATTTACATGCTTTTCAACTTGTTATGTGTCTTATAGTTGAAGTAGGGATTAATAGGATAATAAAATCCTTTGTTTAATAGCTAGAACGAACTTAGGGATAATAAAATGAAGCATCCTAACTTAATCTCTACCATTATTATAATAGTATAATGCCTCCATTGGCTTATAATTAAGGCTGCATATGACATGTGAATTGAGCCCAGATTAAACGTCAAATGAATGCAGTTGTTACTGATAGTCGCATCTTCCCTTAAATCAAATATAGTTTCTATTCTGAAATGTTCATAAATGTAATTGCGTTCGATTTCGCGTATGGTTTGTGCCTGAAATGCATGCTGTATGAAAGTTAAAGCCATTTTAGAGGATACTCAAGTCTCCTCTTCTTGCTCGAGGATATTTCTTGTTGCTTCCCTCTATTTAATCCTATCCAACAGCCACAATTATATTTCATTTAGTTTCTAGCACTTATTCCAACTATTCAGAGTGTTGGCTACTTTGATGATTTCTATGGATTCTCGAATATTCCGCTCATTTTTGTATAAGTTGTGTTCACCCTATTTCGTCTAAGGTGATGAAGGACTGGTAGATGAATTTTCCAACAATGCTGTGAGTAGAGCTGACCTTTAAAGTGAATTTCACGTGTCCTTGCTATATCTGCGATCGCTTCGCATGCTGTCCCTAGACGGCTTATTTTTTAGAAGGCATGTTGGAAAAGCATAAAATATCCAACAAAATCGCAAAATGTTTCATTAAGTAGAAAAAGTTAGGCTATTAGAACTAGGTAAGGCTTCAGCTGGCCGGCAATTTTATCTTTGTGCTTGGTGAACTATCGTAAAGCATAGTGTCCTGCTTTGATGATGTTCATCAAATGATGGGCAAGAGCTTAGCGAGGCTTTATAGGTATCGTGGTGCGGTGATCGAAGGACTTCCTGGCACACATCTACAGTCACAGTTCCAAGGTTCTCCCATACGAATCCCCTCCAGCCGCTTCTCCAAACGAAATGAAAGGTACTCCAAAATTCATTAGTATTTCTGTTTTGTCTAAATTTTGGGCTGAAATTCCTTTAAGTAGTTATGTTTAACCTTATTTTTTTCATCAAGCTGTCAAACGATGTTAGTTCATAAACAAGGTCGCTTTGATACATTTAATGTTGGCGAAAACTAAAATGTAGGAACATCCTTTACAATACTACGAGTAGGCTTCAAGATACAGTTGAATTTCATCCAGAACTGCTTTTAGAAAGTATTTTAATTTAGAGATAAATGCAATGTCGTTATATCTTGGGTCTCATTAGCGCCCCAACTGGAATCAGACCAAGGTAATGAGGCATGTATTTTGGACATACAGCGACTACGCCACAATCCTAGTCCTTCGTTACCTTATGCAAGCTAGAGTAACTATATTTTTTATTCATATAAATTCGCATGTTGTAATGGCAAGTAAACATACGACGTTCAGGCAATTTTGCATCAATTGTGATAGGGAGTATGTCTGGGTTGCATAATAAATTAATGTGATTCATCTATATATTTTGATGAAAGAGTTGGTTTAAAGAAATCTGTAAATTGGCCTCTACTGAAACCGAATAGAGACTGCCCTATTATAAGGACTACTGGATTTTCAAAAATGTTTTTGGCTCCCCACTACTTTTACTTCGATTAAACCGAGCAGCAGGCGAGTAAGAATATTTCCAATTACCACGAAAATATACTGTAATATATACGGGATAACATTAACTTTTGTTAGACAAGATTAAGTAAAGAGACAAGTTTTGTCTCTTTGACGAGTTGTTGTATAGTGCTAAAAATGACGAGACTCACTGACGATG